TTTTTTGCCATTTCTTTTTGCTGTATAGATTCCTAATAATTACCCACACTTGAAAACTTGTTAAGTCCAAATAATTGATGCTGTTCCAATTTCCTACGCCAACTCTTGAAACATGTAAAACATTGAAACATCGAAACACTGAAACTCTCTTGAGCAGTAATAACATAAAAAAATTAGCTGTAATAAAACAAAACGATTTTTTCATTCAAGATTGTTTGTAAAACTCATCCCCCCATGACTATTACTTTTCATAGACTTAGCTTATAGGATTGTACAATTAGCGTTTTTGGCCTATAGAGATCAATTCGGAAATTTAGCCGTACTCCAGGAAAACAAGCTCTTGATACTGATTTTAGCAGTGACAATCTAGAGAACATAATTTTCTTAAAAAAATGGACAAAAAATACAAAAATTTTCTAATTTTTTAAGTTTCATTTTTGAAAAAATATATATTCTTTTTTGTCGAGAACAGTTATCTATAAGCTGTTATGTTGTGAGCTCTATTTAATATAGTTAACTGAATATATTAACAAAATCATACAAAATAGCAAATCATGGAAAATTTTGAGCTGTGGCATTTGGAGGCAAGACTTTCAACAACTGAGTGCACTTCGACAGCACCAATAAAGGGTTAGGAGTTCCAAATTTTGGCACGGTTAATAAATTTATATTTTTTTACTCCAAAAATACTTATACTAATTGTCGTATTTCACAGATTTTGATTTCACTCATTTGAAAAATTTTTGACCTTTCAAAGTACATTATTTTGTCGAAGCAAGGAATAAAGGAAGCAGAGAATAAATTGTGAAGCGTAGTCTGGAAGCAAAAACTGTTACTTTACGAGACAGCAGTTTATTTTATTGACTTTTTTTTTGGTAAAAATGTATATCTTAAGATTAGAGACGGTCCATACTTTTGAGATAAGCACAATTGACACAATTTTTTTAAATTATCTTATGGGTTATTTTTTTTGTGTCAATAAGAAAATCTCTAAAAGAGAGATCTCTTGAACACTTTGGTTCATCTGAACACAAAGTTATACCACGAAACAAAAGTTTCATAGAGATCCTTTCATATGAGTGGAAAAGTTCTCGCGGTAGATGAAGAATAAATTTTCCGAATCGATCATGAAACTAAATCAATTTGCTGATGTTTTGGTGTTTAAAAAAGCTTAAAATATGCATCACAAAACGACTATAATGGGGAAGAAATGAAAAAAAAACTTATAATTTCGAATTAATTGGAAAACTTTTAAAAAAAAAATTCTCATTTTTCATAGGAACCAACGTACACAAAAAGAATAAATTATAAGCAATTTAGATGCAACTTCGAAGACAAAAATGGACAAACAAAAGGGATTATAATCAATTATAATCAATTATAATGGATTTTTGTGCAAAACTAATAAAATAGAAAAACGCAGAAAGAAAAAATGTAGTGTGAAAAATCGTAGTTGGAAATAACGTAGTAGGAAAAAATTCAGTGTGGGAAATTTCGTAGTGTTTAAATCAACCAGTAAATTAATGTATAAAGTGTTTATGACAATTAATAATGATTTTGACTACGAAATTTCTCGCTCCGATTTTATCCACTACGATAATTTGGAAGAATCCGCATCCAAGTTTAGGCGTAAATAGTCGTTTATAACGGATTATTATGATGATTTTTGACAATTATAATTGATTATAATTACCAAAATTAGGTCTTCAAGGGATTTATAATTGATTATAATCGTGATATTTTCCAAGAGATTATTATCTCTTATAATCGATTATAATTGATTATAATTGATTGTAGTTCCTACTAAGAACCCTTAAAATCAATTATAATCGATTAAAATCAATTATAATCTCTTATTTTGCCGAAATTTTCTTAGATGCAACTTCGAAGACAAAAATGGACAAACAAAAGGGATTATAATCAATTATAATCAATTATAATGGATTTTTGTGCAAAACTAATAAAATAGAAGTTTGAATAAAAATAATGGATCGATTATAACTGTATTGAAAAATAGACAAATAAATAATCGATTATAATCGATTATAATGGATTAAAATTAATTATAATTTGAATTTAAAAAGAGATTTTAATCGATTATTAATTGATTAATATTGGATGTTTCTCAATTTTAGTGAGACTGGTACTAAAATTGTAATATAATCAATTATTAACGCTTGAAACTGGATGCGGGAAATACTACGTAATTTCGTACTAAGTTATTTTTCACTACGTTACTTCCAATTATACGTTATTTCCGCCTCTCATTTAAACTAGCACAAAAGTATGAGAAACAGTGTTTTTTCCGCTGCTGGCTAGAGTGTGTCAAACTTCAATCAATCAGTGTTTGAAAAACACGGTCTATTTGTTTAACAGATTTAAATTGATGTCATCATTCAAACCATAATCAGCCTTCAACCTCATTGTGATTTTTCTTATTTTTGATTAATTGTGTCTGGAGTATGACATAGACAAAACTTTATACTTTCACATGCGAAAAAGGCTAGTCATACAACTTTATTGTTTGATCATCACACCAAATCATCATGGAACAGTAGGGATCATTTAATTCTCATATATGACAGTAGTATGAGTGGTTTTCTTTCTCGAACAAAGGTGTTACCACTGCCGAAATTACAATGAATGATCCCGGAGTCTGGAATGAAAAATATCGTTGCGACAAAATAGGCTACGAAGAAAAAGAAGTCTAGCAAAAACTCAACCAAAGATAGAAAAAAAGAATATACGTATGTCGATTGAACTAGATGAACAAAAAACTCTCCCTTGAGAAAATCAAAAAAAGTAGATTTTCTCTACTTCAAATTTAACTTTGAGTATTTTTAATAGTTTTTAACAGTTTTTTAAAGGGAGTACATCAAGGGTTGATTTTGAGCACTCAAAATTTTTTTGAGTCGTTGTTCTCAAAAAAAGACTGGAAATGTTAGGAAGAAAATCAGCCAATAAAATTAAGTCTGACATGGAATAATTGAATATTTAACAAAAAAATTCGCCACAAAAACTTATAGGAAAAATTGCATCTGCCGTCATACAAGTTCATCGGCTACAAATTTAACGTCAATCAATTACAACATTGCAATTTTTTGACAGATTTTAAGAAATGTGCTATACAAAATCCGTAAACTAAATTGACCGTGTCTCAAATCAGGTCAGCAAAAAAAATCAGTTCGATTTCAAACTTTTTGCTAATTGTATCCGTAAAAACTAATTATTGGAATCAAATCAACATCGAACAAGACACAAGTAGCAGTCGGAAAAAACTACGTTCTAATGTGGGTTTTTCGATCGTGAAATTATGTTGTCTTGTTCAGTTAATTAGTTGATATGTGAAGTTGACCCTGGGCTCAATTTTAATTAGAGTGCAGAAATTGAGCGCGCTCAAACTTTCTTGTAGACTTGCAAGAATGCAGACGGCATTTCAAAATACGGAACGGAAAACAAAATTAATCGCATAAGAAATTTATCCTTTTTCAATCCTTCTAACTTTTCCACAGAAGCTCAAAGAGGAGAAAAAAGTTAATCAACAACTGCTTGGACAAAAATCTTCCAAATCACTGTTCTTTCCAATCACTTTTTGAAGCATTTTTTTTGGATCACACTTAAAAGAAACGAGACCAGTTTTTTGAGTTTTTTTCGAAAAAAGCTTTTAATACTTTTTACTAGTTGTTCAGTTGAAGTAATCAGAGCTTCTGCAACACTTGTCATAGTATTATAGAATGCTATGATTTTATTTTTTTGCGGTAAACTTCGAATTTTCATCTTGTGTTTTTCAACAAAACTGCATTAACTTTCAACACTTTTTGGTCCGTTCTGGTTCAAGAACTTCGAAGTCAATTTTAATGTCTGATCCAATCTCTGACCTAAACAACTGCTTTGAAATTCAACATATCTTCGCCTCACTATTAGAAATTTTAATTTAACCGATTAGGCCACCGATATTGCCAACAGTTTGGTGAAAAATTTTATTTAAACGCCTCAAACACTGCGAAGTCATAGGATACTAATATTTGAAAATTACACTAATGTGGGATTTTTGTTGCAGCTAAGCGATTCAAATCAACCACAGTTTCATGAAGCCGAGCTGCAAAACAAGATCATCTTTGAAACTTTTTGAAGAGACACTGCTAAATAACTGTCACACCTTCGAACAAAAATCACAACAAAAAAAACATCCGAGCTCAAATTCGGACATGAAAGAACCTTGTAACTTTTTTAAGAAAAAAATTGTTATCAAAAACAGGCAACATTTTTTAAAAAGAAAAACATATTTCGTATCCCTAAAAGCAAGAAATTTTTAAAAATATTATTGAAAAATCGATCAAAAAATGTTGAATTAAATTTTATTCAGGCGCTTTAAAGAGCATTTTGAATCTCAATACTTCACCCTGCTACCGTTGTCTGTTGACCTGATTTGAAAACCTATGAAGCAGATTTTCATAATTGATTTTTGAAATAATGAATGGTTTTAATAGTCTTTTCTCATTTTTTGCAGTTTTGATGGTGGAGTAAAAATGTCTTTTAATCAAGCAGTTCAATTAGATATTTGAAAAGGCAATAAAACTTACTGGGCCGAAACGCAGTTATAAAAATTCATATATATAGATGCTGCCTATTTCGGAAGTCTCGAATTTTTTCCCAGGAAATTATGAAAAAGATAAAGAAAAAATAAATCACACTTTTGAATTTTGGACCATGAGAGATAACATTATATACAAAGAGATATCATTTACAGATTTTTGTACATTTATACAAATAATTTTAAACAATAAATCAATTAAAATGACAAGAGCTGTTTTTTTTTCATGTTAACTGAATTACAAATATACATTATTTTGGAAAGTTGAATAATTGTCACTGACTCATTATAATTTCAAATTAAAGCAAAAAATTGTATTGTGCTGAAAAATCGAACACTTTTAACTTTAAAATTATTCTTAGTTAAAATTTTCAGTAACGAAACAAGTTTGAGATTTATCAAGGTTCGGTTTAAAACTTTAGGCATAAGATTCGACTTCTGTGTGTGTTTTTCACATGATGATCATCTACCTAATAGTTCAAAATTCTGCATTTAAGCAACAATTTTCCAACTTCAATTTTCTTTTTTTTTCTGTAAGAAAGAATTCCTACATCTGAAAGGAAATGATTTTTTTTTGTTCAGACATCAAAATTTCTTCTACGATTGTTATTCAGTTTAGATTAATATTGAAAAGTTCCTCGATTCATTTGACGGTCAAAAAAAATGTTGTTTAGCTCGCTTTAGAAACAGAATCTGTTCACGCGATGAGGTTCAACTGAGGTTGTGCGTGTTTCAACTGTAAGAAAGAAGCCATTTTGTGGTCGAAATCTATGGGTCTGTGCGCCGGTTCTCTGTAGTTCAAAGTCATGTTATTGGACAGGTAGTGAATAAGCTCACACTTTTCCTGGAATTGAGCCACCTTCTGCCTATATTTCTTCTTTTTGAACTCAGAGGCGGATGGATTGTTGGCTGAAAAAAATATATATAAATTAAGTGTATCTAGTAGAAGATAAAAAATAGGGCCAAGGTGAAGCAACAATTGCGACTACAAAAAATATCCAAAAATTGCATGAATCTGAAGAAAAGGATTACAACAGCAGTTTTCTCTAAAGAATAAAGGCACCAATATGTAATAACTAAGAAGGGTGGGTACTGCGAGGCCTAGGTTGTCATTTGGGATTTTGTAAAATTGGTGGTTTTTTGAGAGTTTCGGATCGCGGAATCCGTAACAGCAGCTTAATCCTTTGAAGTGTGTGTTGGTTGCGGATTCCGTGACCAAAGTATTGAAACGTAGAAGCCACTAAAAGAAATCCGTGACCAATTTTTACCGACGGGGTTGAAGTTTGCAGAAAACTGCCAAATATGACATTTCTGAAGTTTTGGTAGAGCGTAACAGTTTGAACTGCCTGATCCAAAAAAAACTGAGCAAATCTTTACCTTTAAGATGGAATGCGACATACACCAACGCGGACCTCGTGGGACTCAAAAAGGGATGTTTCGGCTTCAAAGCGCCAACCGATGTCAGACTCTTAATGATGGCAGAAGCCACAGTCTGTTCCAGGTAGCCAAGCATAGGCAGTCCAGTGACTGAGAGGGGTTGTTTCTTGGGAGGAAGTTTCTGGGGCAGAGTTAGGTTCCAGTATTTTTCGGGAAGTCTAAAACAGAGAAGTAGCTATAATATGATGGTTCTCATTGTTTAATTTTGCAACATTCCATTAACATTTACAACAATCCCAAAAAAGTCTATTCGATCTTAGCCAACAGAAAGTTGGAAAAACTTGAATGCAATTTTTTAAGTGACAAAAAGCGAAAAAATTGCATGTTGACTAATAGAGCATTATTGATTGCTTTTTATGGAGTTCTTACCGCAGGAACTTCTCGAGGTGTTTCTCAGATGAGAAGCAATAGAGTTTCTTCCTGTATTCTGCGACGAAGCTCTCTGCGTCCCCAGGAATAATCGCCTCATATCTAAAACAAAACAAAATATTACTTAAAATAGCAGAACAGAAAATTTTAGTGCACATATTAGTAAAACAGACAACAAAGATCGATTACATAAATCATGATGGTATCAACAAGAAGACGAATTTTGATGTTTATCAATGCTCGAAAGTCTTAGCTTGATTAGCACAGACCTTTTTGTTCAATTAAAAATCGTAAATTAAAAATAAAGCGTAAGCAAAAACATTTTCAGCCGTATAAATGAGCGATTTCCGATATGCTGTCTGAAAATGGCTCCAAGTTTAAAAAACCTCAAACTTACCGCAGTTTGCCATCTAGGAATGCGACTGGGTCGTATCCTTGGAGTTCTATCCTCTTTGGAAATAAGGACTTCACTTCAGCTGTAGTCCTCCTCCTCGGCAACTCATCCGCCGGGGGAAGTTCCAAGGGAGCCAGAGGGGGCACATACATCACTAAAAAATTAAATATACATTTTACTCGGCAAATGTTCAACAAAGTGTCATACCTTGAAGTTGCAATTACATAAAATTACGTAATAACAGCATTACAACAGTGACAATATGTTCCATAACAATAATAATTTTCGGCTTGTTCGAATAGTAATTTTTTCCGGCTTGTTGGCCTTTCGGCTTAAAGACCAAATTCGAAAGGGGTGGCTTAAACTCTGATTGAATTGCTTCTAGATATGTTAATGATAACTAGTGATTATAATAACAAAAACTAACCAGCATTCATGAGGAACTCATCCAACTCCATCTGAGACGCCATCTTGTAGTACTTCCCTCTGAACTCAGCCGCTAAGTCCAGATTGGGCTGGGTGGAGCAGTCACAGAACTCCCCCCTCAGAGCCAGACTGACCGGACAATACTGACCGAACACTCCGAGGCGCGACGTGAACTCGGTGGGGGTGATACAAAGATTCCTGATTGAAGCTGCTTTACCTATTAAAAAAAATCAGAGATTTTACCAATTAAATATTCGGAAACAAAAAAAAACTAAAAAATGAAAAGGTCTATTTGTACCTTGACTAGTTCTGTCCATGTAGGTTTGGGTGGCCCTGACACTCTCGAATGCGATCTCCTTGCTTTTCTCCCCCACCCACCACTTGCTCATAGTCCCATCCACACTGTGGAAGTTATCGTGTTCACGCTTGTACCACTCGATCACCTAGGAAGAGAAAGAAATACATTTCATCAACAAAAAAGAATTGGTTGAATGCATAGAACTCAATAGTACTCGAAATTATGTATGGTTATAACATCTTTTATTAACCTAATGTTTCTTTTTTTTTCTATTTTCAAACAGAAAAACAGTTTTGGCCTCATAAATTGATACAATTTTGAATTAATGCGGAATTTGAATTAAAATGGCGTTTTATTATTTAAATGTACCTCATTGACTTCTTTCTGCCAGGCGGTCAGTCGGATAGCGAGGATCTTGTGAGAGTCATGCAAAGGCAGCACTCTAAAATGGTTAAAACGTTGCTAGATTTTGGGGTGAGGATGCCGTTTAGACGAAGGTTGCAATAAACGAAGATGGTTCGCAAATGAAGACGGTAAAGTTTGAATAGACTCATTTTTGAAATACAGTTTCAACATTTCACAGAAAAGAGATCAACTAAGAAACTTCACTTCTAATAGTGTTTGAAAGATTGTTTTAGATATCCAAGGTTCGATGAAAAGATCGGATTCTTTGAACAATCACCCTCTTCTATAGTGTCTGGTCGGCAATGAACCCCCCACTTTAAGCACAAAATCAGCAGGGGTTCACTGCGTTTACATAATGGTGGGAGGTTGTACAAAAAACAGCTAAGAATATTGAATTTAGTAACGCATCTGCCCGTTACAATAGGAAGGGAGATTGTTAAAGAGATCCAAAGGTTCCAATAGAAATTTAAGCACAGAAACTACAGATACAGTGCAATTGGCCGACGACTAAATCTAAGATGTCTAGAATATTAACAGAAATAATTACACTCTATCGGGAAGAAGTGGACTGGAATAAAACAAAAACGTGTGAATCAAAGAAAACTGAATGAATCAAATAAATCAAATCATAATTCCATCAATTTCTTTGAAAGTCGGAACAATTAACCCTAAAATTAACCCTGTAAAATTAGGAGCTATAAGAATTAAGCAAAATTAAATGATGTTTAGCGAAATGAATGTTTTGGCAATCAATGTTTTGGCAAAAAAGGAAAAACAACTCCAGAAAATGATCGCGGTCTACTAAATAACAGCTCATCGTTGGTGTTCCACCCTCTTCTTGGATTCGGAGGTGTGACCGATAATAGATACATTATGTTAGAACTAATTCGAAACACTCATCCATCGGCTCTGTTACCTCTCAGCAGATATTCTGTCCTTGGCGCCCCTGATGATGACTTCGTCATTGGGAACCTGCAGCTGAATGACCTTGTGGGGCACAATGTGCTGCTCATTTAACAGTTCAATCTGCCGCTTAGTCACTGGGTAGCCATCCAACACAAACCTAGGGGAGAAGAAAACGCGTATGCAGATTGATTAAATTATAACAGAGTGCCAATAAACAACCATATGACTGCATTTTATATTCATAAAGGGTGCCACGCACTCAAACTTTCATTTGAATCCATGCTAATAGCATCTAAAACGCATCGTTTTTTATCTACCTTCAAACAATTAGGAATGTGAGAAAGTAGTACCTGAAACACTTTTCGTGCAAAATTACCGTCATATCCAACCCGTTATATCAATTCAACTTAACCATTTTCTTGTGCACCGAGTACTATTTAGCTATGCTCGAAAATTAGAAACGAAATACTAAAAAATATAAACAAAAGCCACTTCTCACCCTCTAGTTTGACACTTCATATCCAGTAACTGGCACTGCAGTGCCTGGACAGCCAGTTCATCCGGGAGTGCCTGGCCTCTAAACAGGTACTCGTTCATCTGGGCTGCCAGGTGGGTGGAGGGGAGGGAGGTGAGGATTGATCGGATGGCCTCCCCTATTGAGAGACGCACCATGCCGAACTGCGCTGCGAACTTGTTGGCCACTAAAACAAAACTTGATTCTTTTCTTAAGTAAAACATTATGCTACAGATTTATTATTTTGTTAAAAAATATATAAAGTGCTGATTGAAATTATCAGGAGAAAACGTACGAAATGGGATATTTTACACAAGTTTTGCTCAACCTGGATTGACAACAGACAAAAAAGTTTGAAATTTGGCAGAATTACAAAAGCGCATACGATTTAGCAAAACTAAGGCTCAAATTTTGACCCCGAAAACGCAATATTTTTGGTTGCTTTTAACTATTAGAAAATTACGCTGAAACTACACAGTCACAATAGGTGAGTAAATTATATCGAAGTGAGCCTTTTGTGAAAAGTAATAAAGAAGGGTTTGATACCAAAAAAAATTTGCGCAAAACGTTGAAACAAGTTTGTGAGTTTGAAAGGTATTTTAAATGGTGGAAAAAAAACAATTTCTTAATCTATCAAACAAAAGTTTAATAACCATATATCATTTAAAAGGTTACCCTTTCATAAAACTTTATTGGGCCATCCATGAAGCTCTTTTTGAGAAAATTTGCTAATTATTAACCGTGTAGTTTTTGGCGCAAGTTTCGAGTGAAAAATTTGGCCCCGAATTTTGCAAAAAAAAGAGTGTTCTCACTAGAATACAAAGCGAGAAAAACCAAGGTCGTAACTAAAGAATTTTCTGGTGAACGAAGAACAGTGTGAAAAAAAAGGAAAGAAAAACTAAAAGATCGGAACAAAGTTCACAAGTTTTTTAGGCGCTGTTTTAAAATTGATTAATTAATGCTTTCAATTTTGCGTATTTTATGACATTGAGTACTGGTTTTAAACGCCGAAGTTTATGGCAGTTCGTTATTTTTTGTTGACTTGTAATTTCCGATAATTAGGGTTAACTTACGTATGAAATGAAATGTTTTCAGTCAGCCACCTACCAAAAACCGATCTACCTCAGAACCGAAACGTGGCTTAAATATGGTCCGCTAATCCGGACGGGAACAGTTCTTGGATCCGAAATCTGACCCGGTTGACCTAGGAGCTCTCACCTCTTCTCGCTCTGTTGGGGGGGGGGGGGGGGGGGGAGGATGTTCTTACTAGAGTTCATAGCGAGAAAAACCAAGGTGAAAAACGAAGAACAGTGTGTGAAAAAGCCAAAAAAACTAAAAAATCGAAACAAAGTGTTCACAAGTTTTTCAGGCGCTGTTTTCAGAATTGAATTACTAATAATTTCAATTTTGCGTATTTTATGACATTGAATTCTGCTTTTAAATACCGAAGTGTATGGCAGTTCATTATTCTTGTTGACTTGTAATTTGCGATAATTTCGGTTAATTTACTTATGAAATGAAATGTGGTCAGTCTGCCAGCTACCCGAAACCAATCTACCTCAAACCCGAAACGAGGCAGAAATAAAGAGTGCACCATAATAATTCTATTAAAATGATAAACAAATATTGTTCCAATCATCTTTTGTTAGCCAAATTTGGGAAAAAAATGAAATTCTATAATAATTCTATTAAAATGATAAACAAATATTGCTCCGATCATTTTTTTAAGTCAAATTTGAGAAAAAAAATGAAATTTCTATTTTTTCCTTGTCCGGCTAATTTAGATCAGCTCTGTACAACAATATCCGCCAAACTTAAATTATCAATAGAAACAAAACTACTTGTATCGGGGCGAAGCCCTGATTGTTCCGAATGCCTTTTAAGATCTATGGAGCAGTAATAACATGAAAAAATTTATGTTATAAAATAAAAGGAAAATTTTTGTTTTAAAATTTGAGATTTTTTCGGAAAATCATACCCCACACTCCATACAAAGTACAAAAGTATAGATTTCACTCCTCAAAACCAATCAATTATAGCAATTAAGCTTCCTTCAACCAATTTGGAACAATTTCTAAGACGGATTAAATCTCCGCTGAATAGCGCGGAATATATCGCGCGTTGATTCTCCCAAAATGACCAAAATGGCAATCTTCAAACCCCCATAATTTAAAAAAAATGATCACAGTTAAAAATTATATTTTAAATTTAAGCTCAGTACAACAATACCTTTTGGTTGATACAAAAAAAAAATCCGTCAAAAAAGGTTAATTAAAAAGTCGAAATTTGTCTATAGAAAAAAACCACCCGAGCACAAATATTCCGTTACTTTCGTTAGAAAGTCGTAACAGTCAATTAAAATCATTCAAGAAATGGATAAAAAAAAATTTATACAACCAATTTTTCTGGATGCGAAGGGCCTGAATAATGTAGCATATTTCTCACGCAAGGAGCACATTCACATAATATATATATAACTTCGTCTCCCCCTCGACATTATAGAAAGACACTGGTATTTTGTTTTTAAAAATTCGGCAGTAAAAACTCTTTTGATTTTTGTAATAGAATGAGACACCAGAAGCTAGACATGCATTAAAGTCTCAGTGTTGACCTTTATTGGAAAAACTATACTTATTGTTACCGACACGTCACGAAGTGATGGAAAAAAGTTAAGTCGTAAGGTGGAATTTTTGTTGACGGACTCTGAATGCCTCAGGGAGAATTCGTACGGGATTAAGAGCAAAATCGTAGAAAAGCATTTTCAGTTGTGATTCAAATTCAAAAACAATGTATTCTGAAGTTGATTGAATCTCATTCTTGCATTTTTTAACGTAATTTCATCTCCCAAACTTAAAAAAAATCTTTAAAATTCTTCTTTCCGTGTATACATTTTCTTTGTTTTTGATTTGCTGCTTAGCTCATTGAGGTCGCACGCTGTTTTCCTGGCTATAATTCTTAAATCTTCCAGAAAAGTAGTAATAATTTCAATTTCAATAAACTCACGAGTAGTTTTGCCAGACTTGGGTGGCCCTATGATGGCAATCTGGATGGGGATGGATGGTTTGGGGGGAGGCTGACTGACAAACTTCCTCGGCTGGTCCGTAAACACGTTTCTGTTCTCGGCTGAGGAGAGGAAGTACACGTGTTGTCTGTACACAGCAGTGAATGAAGGGTTCTGAGCGTTCTGAAAGGACGAAAAAGTTTGAAACAAACTGCTTCAAGATCAAACAAAAAAATCTTAAGGCTATTAATAAAGCTTATAACAAGGAATTATAGTATATTTCATTCACTACTCTGGCTTCAGCAACAACAAGACTGTTGTTGTTGTTGTTTATGGTACCAGAACATGTTGAATCGATTTGGAACTGAAATCATATCAAATTACCTGCAATGGTTGCACGCATGCTTTTTTGTTGAGAAGATCGACTGGATCCCACTTTCCATATATGGAAGGGTGTTTGTGGCCCGAGTTCAGAAGTCGTTTGGCGAGAGGAACCGAGACAGGGTATACTCGTTCGAAGATACTCTGTCTGCATGTGATCATTTTGTCCAGTCGCGAGTTGATCAAGAATTTCACGATTTTGATCTTGCGGCCTGAAAGTCAGAAAAAAAAACAGCTAACAGATTTTTGGAAAGTAAAAGAGAAATCAAGGATTCAATTGAATTTAAACTGATGAATTGCTTTCAACAAATGTTTGTTTGTATCAATCTGTATTTCTTAATTTCCGATTTTCTGCTGGTAATTCTACAATTTTTTTGTGGTTTCTATGATTCCCAGAGAATCTATCGAAGGTTATCTAGCCTGTCTTAGGATAGTCCGTTTCTTGCTTAAAAATATAGCATTCAGTTCTGTTTTTGGACTCAAAAGAATTAAACAAGTAGAAAACTTCAAAATTAGGTTTTATAAATTCAGGGGGAAAATCAAATGCCTCATCAGAAATAAAAAGCCATCAGAGGTATAATGATTAGTTGAGAGATGGTTAGTTGCTATTCAAAAGACGCTGCACTAAAAAACGCAAGTCATCTTCCTTCTTCGTGCATCTATCTTCGTTAAGTTTTGACCCGAAAGTAAAGTATAAGAGTAACAAAAAACTCTCGATAAAACTGACCTGCTCCAATTTCTATCTTGGGTATTGTGAACTCGTCCAGAGCCTCAATCACCCCCTGCAGTTTGTTGTTCTCATCCTCAAACCGCTCTGTGATGTCCCCCTTGATTCGCTCCAGGGCATCCGACTCTTGCTCCTCGTCCTAAAAAAGGTTCAGAAAGGACTTATCATTCAGAGAGCGTCACATGGAAAACTACGTAAAAAAAACCTATCATTTCACATTTCACAACGTGTGATTTTACATGTTTCCAATTTCGCATTTGAAAAACTTCATGTTCAATTTTTAGAGTTTGCCACATCCAGCTCGGGTAGTACTATGGATGCCATCTGGAGTCCATAGACATTTTCCCTGGAGTTTGCACCGACTTCCTCAGAGCTTTGCAAAAAAAATGAGCCAAAAATCTGATGGGATCCAAAGACAAACGATTGAACACGATAAAAAAAACTGTTGAAACATCAATCGAACCTATCTGAAGATTTTTGTGTGTCTAATAATTTTTTCCTATCACGCATTCCCTAAATGAAAACGAGGAAAATAGTTGTGATGAGGAAATAGTCGGAAAAAATCTGGCTGGTTGTTGTGAACAGCGAAGAGCAGATAATGCACGATTCACATAACTCGCTAAGTTCCAGAAAATTCTCGAAAAATTTCAAGATACCTCAAGAGCTATTCCCTTCCCTATTGCAAAATGGGGAAAATTCGTTACTAGGTACAAAACCCGCATATGCTGTAACCATTGAATTGGATAGGGGTCGTTACTTGGGGGAAAAGTCATTAAGATGAACCAAACTTTGCCGCTTTACTTACAGCGTAGCAGTTTAAAGTCTTGGTTGACACGCAGTCGCAGACAAAAAACTATCAATTGGTGCAGTGTGAACATCTTAAAAATGAAACAATAGGGAGTAGATCCTTTGTCCTTTAGATTAAGAGGCACTCACCTCTTCTTCGTCGACTTCTTCCTCCTCGAATTCTTCAGCTAGAATGGCTTCAATGTCATCTTCTTCTTCGTCTTCATCGTCATCGTCCACTTTCTGCTTCTAAAACCGATTCAAATTAATAACCTCGGCAACATAATTTTACAAAATTATAAAATCTCATATGAGTTTCAAAAATTGCCGAGGTTATTAGAGGTTCAATTAAGAAGCTCAAAAAATTGAAACAAAAAATATTTGATATGATCTATTTTTTCTCCAAAATTGCGTGCCGGCGCTTTGTGGAATTATAACGCAGCCAGACGTGAATCTCGCTCTAGAAAAGAATGTAGATTCGAAATAGCACGCGCACTATGGTATGCTAGCTGAGCTGTTGCAAGTAATAAGCCATAGCTTGGTTAAGCTTAAAATAATTAACCTCTGGCTTCCGGTTGCTGCTCTAAAAATAATATATCGAGTGAAAAATCTTTCAATTTGCTATGATTTTTAATATAAAGGAGATATATTGGACCAAGTTAACATCCTCGCCCGAGACCGTTTAGGGGGAGGATGCTCATTTGGTTCTGAGTTCGAATTTTCCGCCAATTAGAATAGAGAATTATAGACCCAGCTGGAACCTGATCTAAACTATATTTTATGATTGGATAAATTAAATGTTTTACCAATGTAAAGTATTTAATATTAACCAATCATGATCCATCTAACTAACAACCCACTTATTTGTAAGTGCTGAAGTTACTTGTAAATTCAGCACCAGAGAGATTTGAATTTAACTTAGAAATTAGTTGGACTCTCCCGAGCACTTCAGCAGCCGCAATAAACCAGTATACCCTAGATCTATTGAGCCTAGCAGAGACTAGTTAAACAACCTGAGACTAGATAGTATAAGAGTAAGATTAGGATCGGTATTAGACTAAGAAGTTGCACGAATCTATCCGGCCGAAAATAAGATAGCGTGACGAGCAGACGGTGTACCCTATCCGAAATTACTCTATGAGTTATACACCCCAGTCATAACTCATCTGGTGCGACCATAAGTCTCGAACAAGACCTTACTAGATTAGAATTAACCAAAATTAGATTAGAAATTAGACAAAAACATTTACAAAATGTTATACGACAATAATTTAATTGAAATGTCTCTCCGACTCAATAGATCAGAGCCAATATTCCGAACCATAATAGAACTACCCGGAATTGGAAGAAGACATCGAACCAAAGACGACATACGACAAAGTAGAAACTTGCCGTATAGTTATATGATAGTTCGGCAAAAGCCAGAACAAACTTTTATATTTCGAATACTACTTGCAATGAATTTAGATTTCCATTTGCAAACATAAAACCTTGAAGTAAATCTTCAAAATCATTTCAGGCGCTAAACAAATTAATATTATACAATAACGATTGATAAAAAGATCTAAGATCGTTTTCCTAAAACTCTGCAGTATTATACAAAACATGTTTGAAGAATATTTATTGGAAAATAAAAATAAAAATTAGTAGCATGACAATAAATGGTTAGTAATCATAAATCATCCTGTTGTTCCAGCTTCATCACCTAAAACATAACAGCAATCATAAACCAACTAATATCATCAAAACACTAAATCTTTCCTTTACACAAATTTAAAACTTTATAAAAATTTAAAGTCACTTAATTTAAAATCAGATCATCAAGGCTTATCCTTGGATCTTAAATAATTTTCTACTTAATTAAATTTTAAATTTGATCATCAAGGCTTATCCTTGGATCAAACAGAACAACTTTGTTCTCCCCCACCCACTTAATTAGTGTCTAACGACCTCAAACGTCGATTCACTACCCAACCCTTTCTAAAAACCCAAGACTAATAGAAATTTTTAAACAAAACTAATCATTCAAATTAGGATAAACAGTGAAGAACTTCGGTTATTCATCCTTCACTTGACCCCTCCTCTTACCAGACCCAGGATAAATCTTAGACTTAGTAAGTTTAAAATAGTATCTAACGAACTACTCGCGTTCTAATTATACCTGAACCTTGTGGATCGATTTACTATTCTCCAACCCTTGAACACAATCACTACCCCTAAGTAAGATTAAGTAAGTTAACACCTTAGCTTATACTAGTCACGAGAAAGTAAAAATCATTCTTCGGAATCGATATACTTTTCTCTCCAACCCTGAACAATTAGACCCAGGTTAAGCTAACCAAAAAATCGTAAGAACTAACAGTTTAAGTCAATAGAAATCATTTAACAACCTTTTGCATCCGTCATTCTAAACCTTATGTCATTTAAAAACCTAGGAAATAAACAAACAATCATTTTACACAATTGTGAAATAGATAACAAAAAATACGACCTTGTAATCACACCTCATACACAAACAGTTGGATACATTCGAACAAAACGACAAACACTAAAGAGAAAAATAATAACTAAACAAAGACAAATAACACGAAAAAGATTTTCAAAAAATCGAAACGCATTTTCAGAATCAGAAACCAACAGTTTAGACGAACTTTACAAATTAAAAGAATCAATAGATAAAAATTACCCACAACACGATCAATTATATTTTTCTGACTCAGAAACAACTTCAAATTCATCACAAAGAGGAAAAAGAAGAATAAAAAAGCAGTATAAACACAAACCAGTACATCTATACAATTGGAATCAACCAATTCGACACATTAATAATTACATATTAACAGTCATCGAACGAAAAAATGAGTTCAACGCACACCCCAGGTGACGAAACTCCAGATGATGATGAAATCTTTCCTTTTATAGTAGATGCAGATACTGATAGAGGACAACACATATTTTGTCAAAATTTACTCGTAAATTTATTTGAACCCGGAATCAGTCCATGTAAAACAGAGTTCCCCGATGTAAAAATCAAAAGACAAATCATAGATCACTATCTAAAAGATATATGCAACATAACACAACAGTATGGAATCTACTCTATAGAATTCACTTCCCCAAACCATAATAATAGAACATATACTATTCAAACAGACGACCTTGATTTAGAATTTTCAAAAGTTTTTTCAGAATATATAAAAAGCATCCAATACCATAACTCACAAAGAGCAAACTCCATTTTCACCAATGAAGTTTTCGCACTAATATATAGTTATATTTCGATATTAGAAAATGAACTCCCATTAACAAATGTCTCACCGACAGAAACATCTAAACATTTAAGAGTACGACATGAAATCACACTACTCTCTAGTTATTTAAACATTATTAAAGAAAATTTCACGAAAGACGACGTTTCACAACATACCAAACACGATTTACAAAAAATTTTAGCATGGTTCATAATAGATTATTTCACACACAATATTGATTTAATTGCACAAGCAAGAAAAAATTTTAGACCCCAAAATTCGAACGATGATACCGCTATCACAGAACAATCAGATTATGTTTGGGACCCCGAATGGTCTCATCCAGCATTTATAAGCTTCCCACAATCAATCTCAAGTCAAGCAATAAGTACAATATCTTACATAAGAGGTTATGTAAGAGTAATACCATTAACAATTGATGCAACACCATTAAACTATAATACATTTTTACCCGATACACAAAATAATAGTTTAAACTCTACAGTCATACACAATGAAAACCTCAATGGAACTAGGAATCTTACTCAACAAGATATCCAGACACCATCACACTTCATAAATGAAGAAATTGTACACACAACAACTACACAACAAAGTATTTCACCAATACGCCCAAATTTAACAACACCAAGAAATACAAATCCTTCACAAACACAGGTAACCTTACAATCAACCGTTAAACCTTCGGTTGCCCCTAAATATTCACATATGGATTACCAAACATACAAACCCATGACAATACCATCAAAAACACGCAAAACATTCACTAGAAACAACTTTGCAGACCATAATTATAATTATACACATCCATCAAAAACAAATTATCAACCACAAAGGAATTTTAATCAATATACAAAACCTCGAAACTGGGATAACCCAACGGCCCAATATAATTCCACAAATTTTCAACCAAATCCTCCACAGGATCGCAGTGGAAATTACCCATTTTTTCAACAAAATAAAAATAAAAAACAAACATCTTATCAAATGGATTATTTATCCTCAGATGAAGATTTCTTACAACCAGATATATTTGCACCAAATACTCAAGAATATCGTAGACAAGGAATACAGAAAACACGTACAAATCATAGAAATTTTTCTCCACAATCAATAGATGCACAATATCAACAACCAATTCAACAACAAAATCCAATTAATACACAATCTTTTCAACCAATTCAACAACAAAATCCAATGACTACACACTCGTATCAACCATCACAAATGCAAAATGAAATACCACTCCCGTATTATCTTCAACAACATGAAATAACAAGAAACCAACTTTCAAATTTTTCTCAAATGCCAAATGCAGCTGAATCATTACAAATGACAATGAATCCATACCTTATGGGTGGATCATCAATAACATCAAACAAACCTTTAATGGTTTTCACAGGAACAGACCCTGAATACTCTGTAGAAGATTACTTAAATGCAGTAACAGCAAATTTGATTTTAAATATAGGACCTGAACCAATTAATACGCCACTACATCAAAACTGGATACATCGACGCACAGCGTTGATACAAACAACCTTAGATGGCGCAGCCCAAAAATGGTTTTCAGTACTACCTCAAGAAATAAAATCAAACTGGAAAAGATTTACACAAGAATTTTCAAAAATGTTTGACTCCGAAAGAAACAAACAACAACAAAGAGTTTTATGTAATGAAATTCGCAGATTACCAAACGAAACCATCAAACAAATAGCAGTAAGAATCGAAACACTAGTTCGAAAAGCATATTCACTAAATACACACGACTATAAAAACACTAAGATGACAGAAATCTTAATGATGACCTTAACACCACAATTAAGGAAAATAGCAATAAAAAAGAGAGCATCCCATCCTTCTTCAATTCGAGAACCCGATTTAGATTTTAGAAAACTAGTAGACAAACTAGAACAAGCAGAAATCACGATGAAACTAGAAGAAACGGAGAATTTGAAATTACAATACGTTAACAAA